GTACTGTTACCCATTTCATAACATATGACATGGCTAGCGCCTCAATGTCCACTTAAATGATATCTCAGATTTTGCTACAAGCACATGTTTTTTAAGAGATTTTTTTGACTAAAGGAAGCCATGATGTGCTTCATGGGGGCTACATATTTGACTTCGTTGCCATGTGCTTCAATTTTTTTTTCACACTAGTTTGCCGTGTATGAAAGCCAAAGCTGAAAGGAACCTGACATTTGACTTGTAATATCTTGTGCTGTCGCATGGTGAGTGTGTATTGTTCCATATGAGTGAATTACTTTGGCAAACATGATGAGTTCAGTAAGCTTATTGAAGCAAACACATTTCACTCACTCATCAAGTCATGTAGCTTCCATGTGAAATCTAATCAAATGCAGAGATGGGATGTTTTTTTTTTCTTTTTACTTATTGCTTTCTGAGAATTGTTAGACAGTCAAATGCTCGCCTTGTAGAATCATTTTGCATCTACTAATGATGTTGATTTCCTAATTTTATTCTTATTTAAATATTTTTTCATCTGTGTGCTAGAATCACGCGCAATCTGCAAGTATGCTGCTCGCAAAAACAAACCAGAGCTGTTGAGGGAAGGAAACCTTGAGGAGTCAGCAATGGTGGATGTTTGGATGGAGGTGGAGGCAAACCAGTACACCTCTGTACTGAATCCCATCCTCTTCCAGGTCCTCATCAGTCCGATGCTTGGGGGAACCACCGACCAGAAAGTTGTCGATGAGAACCTTGAGAAGCTGAAGAAGGTGCTAGAGGTGTATGAGGCACGTCTGACCAAGTCCAAGTATCTGGCTGGAGACTTCCTCAGCCTCGCTGACCTTAACCATGTATCTGTCACCCTCTGCCTGCTTGCCACGCCCTACGCATCTGTGCTCGACGCTTACCCGCATGTGAAGGCCTGGTGGTCTAGTCTGATGGAGAGGCCATCTGTCCAGAAGGTCGCTGCCATGATGAAGCCATCTGCTTGAAGCGGTGGCCCTATCAATCGGTGAATGGAATAAGCCTAGTTTGTTCTGGGTATTTGCTTGTTCAGTGATGTGTCTTCTACGTTGAAAGTATTTGCTTGTTCAGTGATGTGTCTTCTACGTTGAAAGTCCAGTGCTTATGAGTGAGCATGCTTGTAATAAGGTCTTGAATTGTTCTGAAATGAGCATTCCCGTGCTCATCTTGAGAATAAACTTTTTGTTAGGTTCCTCAGGATCTTGATGAGTTCTCGTTTGATGGTTGCTGCTGCAGTGTTCAGGCTCGATGTTATCATTGCAAATGCATGTGCATAGTCCAATGGACAACTTGTCTGGATGTCACGATCGATATGGCAATCTGGATGTCACGATCGATATGCCCTTAAAAAAGGGCAGTTGCTAGTATGTTCCTACAGTACATGGAAGTAGACGGTACACCTGGAGAAAAAGCTATGTCTTATCCCACATCTGAAAACTGAATAATGGACGGATATGCCCTTAAAAAAGGGCAGTTGCTATGTAGAACTACATGGATGTAGACAGTAGACTGGGAGAAAAAAGATGTCATATATCTCTACATCTGAAAACTGAAAATGGACGGAGTATGAGTTCAGAAGTCGAGGAGATGACACAACTCACATGTGGCCTGTGGTTGTTGTCAGATTAGCATAAGTACAGTTCTAATGTTAAAAAAATCATAGATATAGATTGGCACATTTGACGGGAGCGATGGAAGAGAAAGTGGACGCTCGATTTTGCTCGTTTGTAGCCTACTAGGTATTATAGCTCGAAGCTCCTGTACCCATATAGCAGCTCTCAGCCATGGCGCATGGCCGTCGGCACGGGAGAGGAGCAGATGTGTGCGTGAGGATGAAGACAAGAAGGCACGACTTGGGCCAGCTTGGCCCATGAAAGAATAGGTTACTTGGGCCAAAAAAAAAGAAAGGTAAAGCCCATGTTCAGTTAAGAAAAAACAAGAAGCTACTGAGCCCTCAGCCACGTGCAATTACATATTTGGTGAAACAAATACAAGGGTATGCTAGTCATTTCTAGTAACACCCTCCCTTTCAAAAATCGCTTACTATCTCCGTCCAAAATAAATGCACATATCACTTCTCGATGAGTCAAATTTTTTAAATTTAATTAGAAATATAAAAAATAGTATCAGCATTTGTCTCTTCAAATGAATTTATGGTACAAGTATATTGCATACTCAATCTAATGGTACTTATTATACATCATAAATAAAGTGTATTTTGTATATATTTCATTGAACTTTAAAAATTCCAATTCCTTGGGAACGAGATATATATTTATTTTAGGATGGAGAGAGTACATAACAAACAGTCCCTAAAAGTAATTCAAATTTATTGTAAAAAACATTTTCGAAGAGAATCTACATTAAAAAAGTTTCTATAAGAATTCTAAAGTCTACTAAACGCACCTTAAGAATAAAAGTTAGATTACACTATACACACCTTAAGAATAAAAGTCACTATAAGAATTTGAGTTGTGAAGCTGCTCTGTATTTCATACTGCAGACACATTCATATACAAACCAGGGACGAGTTGCATACCTACCTTGGTATGGTCCAACCTAATCTAACGTTGGCCATGTCAACTACCAATTCTACTATTCTATCTACTCTAATATACTACCTGCAACTGTTGACCGAAGCAGCATGGTGCTATTTATCAAGTTGGCAGCAGCAACTACAACAACTACTAATATTAAGAAGATAAATGTCCCTTAAAAAAAGATAAATGAAGATAGGGATTACATGTCTATCAATTCTCCCCTAATTCTTGTGCTCCAGCTTGGGACTGATCTTGACGATTCCAATCCTTGCCCACAATTCTTGGAACTTGACTCACCCAAGTAATTTAGTTAGGGTGCCCCCACAGTGGCTGGCGATGACCGGGCTAGTAGCGGTCCTCGAGGACCGGTGCAACAAGTCGGTGGTTAGCCCTGCGTAGTAGTCCTAGCTCGGTGTAGCAGTGACGGCGGGATGGAGGCGGCTCATCGTGGTCATGTCCGTGGTAGTTGGTCTCTCTTGGTGATGGTCAACTCGGTATGGCTGTGGCGCTCCTATGTTTGGTGAAGCTAATTGGGTACGATGGTGGTGACAATCCAACTATTACTAGCTTCGGAGTTCGAAGGATGGATACGGATGGGGCGTCCTATGGAATTGGATGGCAGTTTCACGAGTTCCCTTTAAGGGCGATCTACAATGGCTGACAACTGTTGGGCTAGCTGTGGTTTATATGGACTGGCGCGATGGTGACTGCCCACACATGCGTGTGGCAGGCTCACCGTCGCGGTGACGGCCAGCGGGAGGCGGCCCTTTGATGCTTCTCCTTTGTCTTGAAACCATAGTTATTAGGACAGGACATCGAACCGGTCGAGTCCTCGATTCACGGTTTGTTTGGTTCGATTGCACAATAGATCATTTAAGTGGACCCACCGGTAGGGGCTCTGGTTCCGTTTTTTTGTTGGACTGCTGGTCCGGTCCTAATAACTATGCTTGAAACCTCATGGATGGTGACGTGAAGCGGTGACGGCATCGCCCCTTGTCTTGGTTCATAAACAAGGTGTGATGATCTGCATTAGCTTGTGTTGGGCATGATGGAGGTGGTCCTTGTGGGCTTACATGATGACAAGAGGTCATGCATGCCTGTGACCTTTGTTGAGGTGGCAACAATCTCCTGCTTGTGGGGACACGATTTGTCTCGCATGATGCTCTCAAGTTGGTTTTGCACCATGTCCACGTCATGCTTTAGGGTGAGTTTTGGAGGTGGGGGACTTTTGGGCGAAAGCCTTGCCAATCTACACGCTGAGGCCATCAATAGAGACGCCTTTGGCACTTTGCTACAAGTTGGAAGCATTCTTGTGAGGTCTCCTATCTCTTAGGGTTTCTGTTGAAAAACCTTGGTTCCCTTGATCGGCGTTAGCATCATCTATGGATGTTGTGTTCCTCCCTGGAGGCATCGTCGTTGTGATTGCCCCCTATTCCCAGAGCTCTTTGCTTGTTTGTTGTGGCTTGCAGGCGTATATTTGCAGGTGCTTTGGTGGCTTTCTAGCGATGTATTGTCATGGTGGTTCTTATTGTTTTCTTTTTGTGATGGTGTTTTTTCTAAGTTGTTTCTTCTCTGTTCATTCATGTCGGGGAAAAAATTCTTGATCAAGGTTTTTGAGAGAGAGAGAGAGATGTATTGTCATTGGCGATGTCTGATTCTGCACACTAAATAAGATAAACATTGCTCTTTTAAATGTTCGTTTAAAAAAAAGCTATAAAATGATCAATGTTAGGATCAAATCCGAGGCAGTGGGATGATAACCACATCATTCGCACACTAGTAGATACATATTTGCCTTCATATTTTCTACATAATAGGGTAGCTCGTAGCTGTCGTATGCATAAGTAACTTTCGTCATGTTCGCTTGGCTTATAAGCTGTATTTTTTCAGCTAACGAACAATATTTTTCTCTCACAACAAATCAGCCAACAGTACTTTCAGCCATGGCTTATCAGCCAAGCGAAGAAGGCATTTGTCTCTCCATGGAGAAGCCAACATGTATACATAGCTTTGCCTCTCCAAAGATAAGATAATAAAGGCTCCGCACCAATTATTTCGAGCCGTCTGGCTAGCACTAGCAGGCTGCCAACTTCAAAGCAGAGCAGAGCACATCAGAGCGCACAAGCCACAAGCAACTTTGCCCGCTTTTACTTTGGAGCACGACGGCTCGTCATATCCGGCCACAGCTGCCAAAAGAACAGCCGTTCGCGCGCGCCGACGGAGCAGCTGCAGCCTGCAGCTCCGTCCAAAGGGCGACGGCCTGCAGGATGGCCGAAATGCGCAGAAAAATGGACGCGGCCGTCGGTGGCTACCAATAAATGCACTCCCACGCCACGCCGCGCTCTTACTAGCACAAGGCTGAAACCAGCGTTGCCGAGCGTGAGAAACAGAGCCCCCCCCTGTCCAAGTGTCCAGGACACCCTCCACGCACACGCACTGATGGCACCTCTGGTGTTCGTGCTGCTCTTGCTGGCCATGCCACTCAGAGGATCAGGTGAGAGATACATCTCACTTCCATGCCCGTATTGATGGATGAAGCTTGATCGTTTAGCGTATTGAGATACCAACCTGCTTGTGTGTTCCGCGTGGCGCATGAGTGCAGATGGCGCGTGGTGCGTGTGCCGCCCGGACGTGGCCGATGCGGCGCTGCAGAAGACGCTGGACTACGCGTGCGGGCACGGCGCGGACTGCGCCGCCGTGCTCCCGACGGGGCCGTGCTACAGCCCCACCACGGTGCGCGCGCACTGCTCCTACGCCGCCAACAGCTACTTCCAGCGGAACAGCCAGGCCAACGGCGCCACCTGCGACTTCGGCGGCACGGCTAACCTCACCGACACAGACCCGAGTACATACAGCACGCACCCCCTTGCTCTCGACACCTGCATCTCTCAGGATCGTTTCTATCTTTCTACTGACGTTTGTTGCCGGTTGCAGGCTCTGGAACTTGCAAATACCCTGCAACACCAAGGTACGTAGGATGCGTAGCGGCCAGTTCGCTGGTGAAACAAACACGGGACTGACATTCTTCTGCTTTCGAATCCGTCGTGCGTGCGTGCAGCGAAGCAGGGACAAGCGGCAACGCAACCGGCACGGGCACGGGCACGTCGTCTCCAGGCTCTGCGAGTAACCCGGCTACGACGCCCAGCACGGGAGGGAGCTTCACGACACCTGTCGGCGCGTTTGGCCCCACGCCTAGCACCGTCAGCGCGGGCACCGCCACCGCCGCCGTGTTTGTTGGTCGCCATGCCCTCCTCCTCGCCGTCGTCTCCGTCCTGTCTTTCTAGGTGCGCTGATTTGCTCGGTCAGAAGGAATCCGAAGCAGCGTCATCCTCTGTGTTTGGTGAAGATTTGACAATTGTTCGTTCTTCTTCTCTCATGTTTCTCGCGGTTTTCGTTACTTCCGCACATGAAAATGGATCAAGTTTGATTACTTTACCTGAACTCTCATGTTTCAAGAAATACGATGGTGTAAATTGCTAGGCATGACCAAATTTTGGCTTGGTACATGATGCCCTCAACTCAAACCATGCTCAAGTTATCATTTTTCTCTTTCCAATTTCCTCTAACCATATAGCCTCTTTGGGTGGGTAGAGATTATTCCTTCTTTTGATTGGGAGCCAACCACGCTAATATTGTGGATTTATTAATAACTATTTTTGTCTAAACAAATACTAGGTCCCATAGAGTTTCATGTCGCTACGGTACATGTGACCAAACACGCTCCTTCTTGCTGTTGAAATTTGGCAATGACGTGGAGGAGAAACTTCCATGCATGGCCATGGGTCATGGCGCGGATGATGTCCACTGCTAAAAGGTTCGTAGCAATGGCTCAATTTTTTTAGGGGTGGCTGGGGATGGAGACGCTCTACAGTGGGCATGCTTAGAACCCACGAGACCAGCCACCCCTATAAATGGGTTGATTTGTAAGGACGGCTCACTCACCAGCCGTCCCCAGTATTGCGATTTGTAGGGGCGGCTCAATCATCAGCCGCCCCTATAAATGCTACATGTACAAAAACCTGCAGCCCCTTCTTTCTCCTCGGGTCACTCACTCTTACCCGAGAAGAAAGGCTTGGGAGGTCATGGACACCTCCCAAAAATTATTCTACTAAGGGTGAGAGGTTTTGGTCTCAAATCCTTTGGTGGAGAAGTTGTAGAAGGTAAGTAAATGATATTTCATATTTTTTTTGAAGTTTTAATAGTTGGTTAGTGAGTAATTATAATTTTGTTTTTCTCTCTCTAGTATGCTGCTTGAGCTACTTATGAAGTAAATTAGACCCAAGCTTTAAATGTTCTAAGATAAATTAGATAGGGAAACAAGATCATATCCTTATTTGGTCCATGTTTCTTGATTTTAGTGAACAATTAGTTAGTTTTATGGATGTTTTATGTGCATGTAGATCTAGATCTAGGATTTGGTTTTTATATTAATTTCATTTTTATAAATTTATGTTTGATGAAATTGGACTAGGGTTTGCATGAAGGATATTGGGTAAAATATTAATTATTGCTAATTGTTGTCTTTGAAATTATTTATTGTAATCAACAAATATGTATTTTTAATTATTTAAAGATAAATAGGCCATTAATTAATTATCCTCTACCATGGTGTGTTTGTATGCTTCATGTAATTATATTTGATTTATATTCATATAGGAACTCTAGGATGTATGATTCGTTAAGGTTTAAGATAGGTTTTCGTGAAAAGGTGGATAAATTTATTGAAGCCACAGAGAAGCATGTAACAACGTTTACAGAGAATAAGGATACAATTATTTGTCCCTGTAAATATTGCAAGAATCGTATGTCATTGACAGATATGACTATCATCATATCACATTTGATTATGCAATGATTTGTTGAGGACTACATAGTGTGGATTCATCATGGTGAAATGGTTGTTGTTAACGACGAAGATGAGGAGAAATACGATGACGAAACCCTAGAATCCCTATCCCAATATTCAGCAGAGCTTGATGTACGAATGGATCCCGAGTTTGGCAATGAACAAGGTGGTGATGCTGGTGGTTGGGATGGTAACGACGAAGGTGGTGCCAATAATGATGGCGGAACACGTGTCGGGGATATAGATGATTTTGATGATTTGGAGCACATGATTCGAACCATTGGACCAGAGATTTTACTAAAAAATCCAAAAGATCTACAAAATTTTGAAAGGGTGCAAAAAGCATCAAAGGGACTGTGTATGGTGTTGAAAAGGGTTATCTGACACACTAAACATTGCTACGTTTTGTGCTCGAGCTACTCATCCTGAAGGCTAAGTACGGCTGGTCAGATTGTAGTTTCAATGATCTATTGCGTCTTCTATGTTGGTTGTAATAATAAACTTATCTAAATTATTATGGTTTGTAATGAGTAAATTTAAATTATTATGTGTCTATAATGAAGTAATCTAAATTATTTTGGATTTGTAACGTATATATCTTCTTGTCAATTAGTTGTTAATATAATGTCCTTGTGAATATATATATATATATATATATATATATGTGTGTGTGTGTGTGTGTGTTTTCTGGTCGGATTTGAATTTTTGAATTTTAATTTTTTTTTTAGAAAAATATACTGTAGGAGCGGTTCTAAAATGGACCGCGTTACGAATGGAAATTATAGGGACGGATGGTGTTACAATCGCCCCTATAAATTATTTTTTGTAGATGCGGCTGATGTTACCAACCGTCCTTAAAAATAAAATTATAGGGGATGCTAGTGTTTGTAGAGACGACTTGGGAACCGCCTTTACAAACCCTTAATCTGTAGAGACGGTCTGGTAGAGACGACTAGCAAAATCACCTCTCAGATCATGGTTAGCTGCCTCTAAAATGCTTAGTGTGGTAGTGGAAAGTGTCAACGCGTCCAGCACCAAAGCTCTACCTGTAGTTCCCACGCACCTCTAGGCTCGAGCACTAGCTCCTCACAATACCGCGCCCCCGTCGGTTGCGCGATCCACTTATTCCTCGCTTCCAATGCATGCCTTGTTGCCACCATCTACATGTTCCGGCCGGTTCCTTCTCCAACCTGTTTCTCTCTCTGTCTTCTCATCAATCCCGTGTCCGTGTCTCCGGCAAGCACGCGGCGCTAGCTTAGCGCCCTGCTGCACCCAGGCGCTTCTCCGTCAGCTTATTCTCCACGGATCGGCGGCATTGATGCGCGGCGCGACGACGCAGCGGCCGTGTCATGAGGAAGCTGTGCCCGAACCTGGACCGCGACGACTCCCTGGACACCGTGCTGGAGGTGCCCATCCCCGATGAGATGCTCATCAACGCCCCCGGCGCCGACAAGCGCCGCGGCGCCGGGGGCGCCAACATGCGCGCCTGGCTCAAGAACCAGGCCTTCGATCGCGCCACCGTCGACGGGGCTGCCTCCGCCACCGCGGAGCTCCAGCTGTTCCTCAACGTCGTCGGGTCGCCGCTCATCCCCTGCCCCGTCCCGCACGATCGCGCTTTCAGCCGCTCCATCCGCGACTCCTCTATCGTAAGCCACCCACCCATCATCGTCCTGCCATGCACGGGAGCGGAATGAATGATCGCGCGTCCCTGGCATGCATGCTACGTTTTTTACGCGCGCACGTAAATCGTGACTCGGTTGCTTGATGAATGATCGATTGAAGCAAGCGTCGACGGCAAAGTACATCATCCAGCAGTACATCGCGGCGACGGGCGGGCAGGCGGCGCTGCAGGGGGTGCGGAGCATGTACGCCGTGGGGAAGGTGCGGATGTGCGCGTCCGAGTTCCACCTCGGAGACCAGACGGTCACCACCACCGCCGCGCAGGGCCGCGCCGAGGTCGGCGGCTTCGTGCTCTGGCAGAAGACACCCGAGGTCTGGTTCTTCGAGCTTATAATGGCCGGCCACAAGATGAGCGCCGGCAGCGACGGCAAGATCGCGTGGCGGCAGTCCGCCGCCGAGCACTCCCACGTCTCGCGCGGCCCGCCCCGGCCCCTCCGCCGCTCTCTCCAGGTAAATTAAGCACCAAAGGCGGCACGGGATGGCATGCAGAGGATCGGATAGCGTTCAGCCAGATGCATCTTCGATCGTGCTCCTTTTATTTGCAGGGGCTGGATCCACGCTCCATCGCGAACCTCTTCTCGGACGCGGTGTGCATAGGCGAGAAGGTCCTCAACAACGAGGAGTGCTTCATCCTGAAGCTGGAGGCTGGCGCCGCGACGCTGCGGGCGCGGAGCGCTCCGGCGTTCGATATCATCCACCACACGGTGTGGGGCTACTTCAGCCAGCGCACGGGGCTGCTCATCCAACTCGAGGACTCGCACCTGCTCCGCATGAAGTCCGGCAAGGGCCACCGCCGCAGCGAGAACATCTTCTGGGAGACCAGCATGGAGTCCGTCATCTCCGACTACCGCTACATCGACGGCATCAACATCGCGCACGGCGGCCACACCAACGTCACGCTTTTCCGTTACGGCGAGGGATCCGTCAACCACAAGCGGAAGCTGGAGGAGACGTGGACGGTGGAGGAGGCCGATTTCAATGTGCACGGCCTCACCACGGACTACTTCCTGCCGCCGGCCGACCTCAAGAAGGACGTCGAAGATCAGAATAAGTGATGGGCTAGCGTTTGATTCCACTTATTAATTGGACATAGAAATTCATTCATCCAGGGATGTTTTTTTTTAATTATAGGGGTGGCGGCAGTTCTATGTGTTCTTTCATTTCTCTCGTTTTCTTTTTCTGATTTAAACTGCAGGGGGACTACATGGTTAACTCATGTACAGAGTACAATAGATATGGGGAATGGGGAGCTTGATTAATTTCTTTAATTTTGGTTGGGACTTTCTATCAAACATCTATAGTGTGACAAATTGGTTTCATTCTGACCTTTAAAAAAAAAGGTTTCATTCTTCACCGAACCCTTCAGCTGTGAAGAGCTCCTTTCAGACCAACACATATCCTTCATTTTAATGGAGGCAAATTATTAAATGGATCAGGAACGACGAGTTACTGTATCACTACCAAAATATTCAGAAACCATACACTCCGTCACCAAAGTTTCGGGAACAGTAGAATGCTATCTCTAACATCATATGTACTTCTACAATGTCATGAGGAAAGGAATGCTAGGCAGCAAGACAGGCCACAAGAAAAGGCAAAATCATGCTAGTTCGGCAGAACAGGACATCACTATATACTCATTCAACAGTACCATTACAAACCAAAGAAGGAAACAAAAAATCAGGTGGAGGGGACTGAGGCATCTCTTCTTCAAGAATTGGTTCAAGCTTTACACTCGAAAAGAATACTGCAGTGTCTTTTGAGTTCCTTCAAAAAGATCTAGCAAAAGTGTCTCCAAATCCTCTGGCCTGTACTTTATGTAACGATCTCGATGCCTTGTGCCATCAAGAAAGCCTGAATATCTTCCCACGAACGTCCTATAGGCCTGTATAACTTTCAGTGATATTGATATCCGGACATCATCGCGGAGTTGGTCATCTGGGACAGACCATGCTGTCTGAACTCGGTAAACCTCTTCAAAGGACAGATTGAAATTCTTTATCTTCTCCCTTATGGTTTTGCGAGAAGCAGCATCACCAGCAGCACACAAGCCATCATCACTGAGGTAAGAGAGAACATTATTCCATGATGCCCTCTCATATCTCATAGCTTGCTGCTGAAATTTCCTGTTATGAATCCGGATCCAGTCATCACCAAGAAAGCTTTTGAGATCTGAGTTCTTCACTTTCTGAACCATGTAGTGGATGTTGTTCATCATGAAGATGTTCTGCAATCGATCATCTCTGTACAATCTAGACCCAGCTTCAAGATTTGCCTCCAAAACTGCAGTAACAGACTGTAGATGCAAAGCTGTTGCCGCGAAATTAGGATATGAGTTTGCCATCAACTGAATGTCAGAAGCCAGGCATCTTCGATCCGTGTCCTTGAGAAGTGAATCAAGAGTTTTGCTGTATGCTGTGAGAGCTCTTATGTAGTTCATAACATACTTTGTAAGTGGATGCACTTCTCCACGAGCTACTGCACTAGATGAAGTGTATGATTGGATGGCATACTTGAATTCTGCGAATGTCTTCCTTGCAGATTCTCCCAGTTGCAGTAGTGCTTCATGATACTCATTCAGGATCATATCATCGTATCCTGATTCAAACAAGGATTCAGCTTCAGGGAGAAGATCTTCCAGGACATCATACATATCAAGCAATCGAAAAAGCTTTTCTGTTTTTGGGGGACCAATTGCTACAGATACATAAAAGCTCAGAAGTTGTATAACTGAGTTAAATGAAATCTCAGAGAAGCACAAGTCTGCAGTTGAATCTGTAAGTTCACCAAAGACATGTTTGCTAAGACGTTTCTCACTAACAAGATATACTTGAATAAAAAACCTCATTGCCCGGTTCCATCTCTTTATTAATGAATTCAACTTGTTCCAACTAGTGTTCATAAGGTCCTCTATACTGAGCTTTTCCAGACGAAGAGACCCAAAGTACTCATCTATCGCACTCTGCCGTGAGTTTATATAAGCCTGGCAACACTCCTTATCATAGCCATTCAGGAACATGAATTTAGCAATGGACTTGACAGCAGAGAGTGCACCAGGTTGAATTAAATCAGGCACAAAATATTCTGGTCCTCCACTGATATCATTTGGTGATTCCTTCCCTTCCGATTGTTCCTCACTAAATGAGCTGCTTGAAAAGTCTTCCACACTACCATCCTCTGTAGAGCGAAAAGAGAGAACCTCCTGTTCTAATGGCTGTTTGTAATTTGTAAGAAGATAAACAAATTCCTCTTCGAGTCTTGCCATTGCCATTTCAGAAAGGTCATATGCATACACAGTGAGTTCATCCAGCTGTTTGGCTTCTCCACCAGGGTCTAAGGTCCTTAACTTTTCAGACAGTTGTTTGATTTTGCGCAGCACTTCCAAGTACTCAAATGAGTCCTGTGGATCATGGACATGCATGGAGTTGTCAAAATCCAAACTAAGAATCTTCTTTCTCAAGACCTTAAGCGCTTGTTTAACATCGCATGTCTCATTATCTTCTCCCAGAGTAATGTTTGAGAACTGCTTAACTAACTCTGCAGCCATCATATTATGCACCTTCCCTGCATCATATGTTTAACACAAATATCAGGTCTAACTCCAATATTTCAAAGTGGAGACTTGAATTTGGGAAAGCTAGTGACACAAAGAAGTAAAGATAATGAAAATCCTATCATGCCAAATAGATGGAAATAGACAATTAAGCATTGATTTGCGAAAATCAAACATATGATGCTCAAGCAGCAAACCTTTGAAACTTGTAAGCACAGCCATATAAATAGCAAAGGTAAACAGAAATTGGAAAAAAAAAAAACTAGATAACGGTAACATCACAGTTAGAGCAAATACAGACTAGTTACCTCCCTTCCTTTTTTTCCCTTAAGAAAAAACAGTGGAGAAACTTGATCATATAAGATTCGACCAGCCCGATGGCTTAATAATCTAATTTGCTCTTGTTGAGCGGCAGGAACAGGGCAGGTCCTCTTATTTCTAAAAACAGCTGATGATCTCAATATGTGGGTTATACTAGCAGATGAACTTATTGGTTCTTATATTAGTCAATTATTAGGAGAAAATTGTCATAGTAGCTACTAGCTAGAGTCTAAAAACACTTGTTGGGGGGAAAAGTTCCCACGAACAAGGAAAAAAAACTCAAATAATTTCACCATAAATATCTTCATTAAAGTGAAACCAAACTGGAGGCAAAAGCTAACTGGCACTGAAAAGCAAGAAACTATGCAAGAAACCTTTACGGAGCAGGAAGAAGAGACTCACCACCGGCACCGAAGAGCTGCTGATCTTCGCCCACTCCGGCGGTCGCCCACGGGACCGCCGCAATCCCAGATTCAGAACTCGTCCAGGAGGCGAGAGCGAGGAAGAGAGGCTCGCGGGCGAAGAGAGAAAGAGAGGCGCAAAGTACAAAAGAGAGAGAGAAGAGAACGGAGTACGATTATTGGGGTGTGGTGGTCAGGTCAGTGGAGCTATGTGGAACAGTACGAGTCAAGTCAACCGGAGGGAAGCGACGGCGACGGGAGGGAAGGGGGCTCTGCGGACTGCGGAGGAGAGGATGGGGATGGTCAGCGGACGCAATTGGAACGGGATGCCGTGGTGCCGGGCCTCTCGCTCGCTCGTCCCTGTTGCTGTCCGTCCGTCCCTCCCTCTCGTCGAAGGACGGAAGGAGTCAAGGACGACAGGCCGCTGCATTCCGATCCAACGGGAAACGCGACCGTTCCGCGGGAACGGAGGGAAGGGCGAGAGCTTTCGCACTTGGGGGAGTTGGCTTGCGCAGTGCGTGACCGTACGGACGACTGACTAGTCGACTCGACTACCCGCCACCAGCTCTCCAATGTGGTGAGCAGATTACTCACTCGGTTCAAAAAAAAAATTATTCCTTCTAGGTGTCAATATAAATCTCAAATAACTAGATACATATAAAAATATTCTAATACTTATATAATGTATAGAACGAATCACAAAATATATCTTCATAATACCTCGTCTAGAAATACAAATGTTGATAATATTTTTTATAAATCGAGTCAAAATCTAAAAAGTTTGACATAGTCCTACCGAATAACCATTTTTTCTATATCTCAAGTGTCTGATTTTTTTCTGTTGCTGTTCAGTATGTAATTTTATCATTGTTTGGTTATAGAAAAAAATTACTTCGTATCATTTATGAGTTGTCCTTTTAATTATACAAAAAATATCTGAATTATACTCTATACCAATTAAAGAATTTGTATACAACATGTGCCTAATGGATTGTCATAGATCTATGGCCCTGTAAGAATGAGTCTTCGAGAGGGCGCATGACAACAATAACTATGAGGGAAGGTAGAAGATAGATAAATTATATTGAAATTATAAGGACTTAGTGTTGAGAAGACCGATAATGGAGCAATCGACTGACCCTCACGTGATCCAACTACTCTGATCCTTTCCAGGCTAACCTTCATCAACTGTTGCATCCTCGCGTGCATCAATGCCACAGATAGGTCTCCCATGCACGCTGTTCTTCTCGATCGTTAAGGGCACTCTAAGAGTTGCGCGCTCGCTCAACCACGGGTGCCATGCCATGCCTATGTTGCCGTCGCAGGCACCCGTGTCCACTTAGCCACCACCAGAGCCACACCCCGTTGCACAGTGCTTGCCCATGTTATGTCGGTGGCTGACGCAGCGTGGCCCTAGGTTTGTATGACACTAGCGCAAGTGTTGTCGTGGTCATTGTGCCCATACACAACTTTACCCGTGTAGCCACGCTCATGCCACCAACAACGTAATAAATTATTCTTCCGTTGTAACACAAGGACATGTTTTGCTAGTCAATGCAAAATCAGCAAATAAGTCATTTCAAATAAGCCTCTATGCCAAGGTTGATTTTGTTGTTCCGTGAAATTTTCGGTGATAAGCCATGCATCATCCAGGGGCGCCAACTAGTCCAGCTCGACCTGGTACCACTCCACGGATCCAACCTCTCCGTCGATCTCGAGCACGCACACGGACCTAACGAGGTACGAGACGGCGGCGTCGACCGTGTCGAACTTGGCGAGGTCCGGGGGCAGAGCGTCCCCAGGCCAGTTCTCCAGCCAGGCCTTGAGCCTTTCCTCCAGCCCCTCCCTGGACACGAACTCCTCGTCCATGCCGGGCTCCATCAGCACGTACGTGTCCGACTGGATGTCCGCTCGTCTCCTCCGTGCAGCACAAACCTTCCCAACAAAATGATGACCGTGTCCGGTTGGTTATTATTAGGTACAGAAGTAATACGGGAGTATAACAAAATATTTCCTTTCTATTTCCGTGGCAAGACTTGGACCTGGTTTCCGTGGCCTTGAATTATCGGTGGTCGCTTCAACGAGGCCGCGCAAAAGCTCGCGGCACCACCCACGAACGCCTTCTTCTGCGAGCGCCGGCGGCGGGGCAGCAGTACTGACGCCCGTCTGCCTGCATTTGAGGAGACAAGTCAGGTGCGGTTACTGAGAAACGTTGAAGTGGTAAGCACTGTTTGACTACTGGTGGAAAAGCGTTCCTTCCATATGCAGGACTTTCCCACCATGTGATCTAGAAAGTTGCTCGGTTTTTTCTCCCTCATCAAGGGTTTGTCCAATTCAAAAGTGGAAATCGTTTGGAGTGCCAGGTGTGGATTTCGTTGGGGATCATGGCAAACCCCTTTTCCATTGTGGGATCATGGGACTTAAGCTGCAGTCCGCGTCTAGTGAATGCAAGTCATAGATTACCTACTCCGGTTAACAACTGCAGGGCGAGACGGGGGTTCTTTCTTGCCAAGTTTGTAAGTCCTTGTCAAAAAGGTTGCGCACGCAATCAGTCATTCAGTCAAATTCGAAAGAAACTATTCGATGATGATGAAATCGTAGCCGGCTCTTGCCATGCTACAATATACATATTCCTTGAAAATCATCTAAGACTTCTAGCAGTGTGTTTAGTTACACAAATATGAATAATTATGATCACGCTGACTATATGACTTGTTCAAGATGCCGGTTAAAAAACTCTTCAAAATCTCTTACCAAAGCCGTCACAATCTTAGGCCATATTTAGAACGAAAGAATAGAAAAAGGGAATGATATGAAACCATGAATAAAATAGGGATGGGCGGAGAAAATGAAAAATATAGGAAAGCCACAGAGAGTGGTGTTCGGAACTATGGTTACCTAATATCAATCAAACAAAAAACAAATTCAACTCATCCGTTTGTTCTTATCCGCACCTCTGCCTTCTCTCCTATCGTTATCCATTCACTGCTCACCCCCTCCCTCTCTCGTTCTTCCAAAACTCCATCGCGGCACACCCTCTCCGCCGTTCTTGGAGGACTCTGTCGTGGCCGGTGTCTTCCTTCAGCACATGTTCTTCTTTCTGCATCAAGGTGCTGCACGGCATCATGTTCTCCTCCACAGACCACAGGTGACAGGTCTTCGGCCAGAAGGCGACGAGAGGGTGAGTCGTCTCAGCAGCGGCGGTGTATATCGAGAGCATGGGGGCTTGAGTGCCGACGGGTTAGTTCCAATTGTATCTTCCAGCCTATCGTGCCTTGATCTCACCACCATTTTCTCTCTCTCGCACACACGTTACTCGAGCTTCTGCGAAAATGTTTTGGTTGCTGCATTTTGTGAAGCAACACGGCCCTGCTCGCTTTGCTGAAAAGCTACGCCGAAAAGTACTCGCTGATTTGTTACGAGAGAAAAACACTGTATCATGGTTGATAAGCCAGAAAGTCCGAAACGTTAAGTCAAACGACAAGTGACGTCATCGAAACGCTGGAATCATATACTGTATTCCTCTAAAATTCATTTGAGAATCCTTCATTGCTGTCTCCAGTCTGTTAGTTAAACTAGTGTGCTATGGCAATTGGCATGTTGGGCACTTGGCCCTGGTAGGCAGTGACTGATGAACCAACAAACAGAGCCATGGTGTGCAACATAACAGAGGATAAGAGTGATCGGAAAACTGACATTACCACTGATGAGCAGTCCACCGGTGGAGCCGCACTCCCGGGCTACAGCCGCCGCCGCCGTTTCCATTCTGCCTTCTCTAGGTTGTGTCGCCTTAAAATTCTTCTTATCCCTTCAATGGCGTTGTGTGGCCTTAAAATCTTCGTTATCCCTTCAATGGCTCCCACACCTGAAGCTTTTCAGAGCCCTCCTGTGGGTTATCCTCCTCTACACTGCGATTGGTGACAAGAGCGTTTATCTAGAGGGACGACTGGTTCCTTCTCAGTGTGGACAGATAGGGACATGCCAAATTCGGAATTGCCACGGTACCGCTGAAGGCCGAACCACTAATTTCCAGTCGCATTTCAACACTCTGGCAATGGCAAGTACAATTGTAGGTCAACTGTGCAATCACTAATATCAAGTTCCGAGACCAATTCAACACTTCAACTTGTATCAGATATAATGATATGATACGAGCACACACCAGCTTGCCCATCCTGGGAACCATGCTAAGGTTTCTATCGTGAGCTAGCCATCACAATACCTTCCCAAAAACTATTATTCCCACTCTAGAAATTTGTCCCATGGATTAAGGGCTTTAATGGAGAGTATGATTCGGGGTGCTAACAAATCGCTACCAAAAACAACTCGTTTATTCAACCTTGCTAGGTCACAGTCACGGTGCACCGAGATGAATGGATCGTTTAGTCTTGCATTAACAAAAGTACAAACAATTTTCAGCAACATTGTAGTGGTCAGAGACCTTCATATGCTGAGATCATTTGACTAATTTTTACTAGGAGGCTATTTGCAGTTTCATCCTTTGGGTGCGGGGACGTCAATTCTTGGTACCGGTGAAGGGTTCCAGTGAAATCTGTAAACAGTCCGTCAACCCCCACAGTGTTTATCCAAAAATCGTATTCACTGTAGGGATCTTGATGAAAGTTGAAGTGCAGGAACTGGTTCTCATTCCTGTACGTGTATGGATGTACCTGCACAACAACAGAATGCAGTTTAACATGCTTCGGTGGAACAAGTGAACAGTGAGATAAAACAAGCGTAAAAAATGTGGCCTGTAGCAGTGTGACAATTTGATCCACATGTTCTTTTTGCAACAAAAAGTTTGCACCATAATGCATAACCAAACACAAGCTTAATGAGCTAATTTGAGTAATTCAACCAAAGTGTTACTGAAGCAGACTGCTTATTATCAGGGAGCTCTTATCCATTTTTTGAAGAAAGGAAGGCAGTCCTTCCAGTTCAACGCATAGGACACGGTGAGGATCAGAACACAGCTGTAAGTAGCCTTCCCAAAAGAAAGTAGAGATGTGAGTTGTCAATGCAGGTGTTGTCAGCTAGGTGGTAGTTCCAACCCAATGCACTCAGTGATTGGCCATAGTTTTAGTCAATGCACTTATGCACGTGACACCAAAATTACAAGAGAGCCATGATGTTTTATAGGATCCTTCTGGAGTTCTGGTTATCCGAAGTGTCCAGATGCATTTAGACAGAAAAAACATTGAAGATAGCAGTTAACATAGGGAAGGTGGTCCAATTAGTATAGGTTACTTTACAATAATCCATGTAAAGTATGAACTTTAGATAATTACAATGAATACAAACAATTGAGATAATTACAATGAATACAAACAAATGCCATACCTGGAGATTATAAGCATGTGCCCGTGCGACAAGATCACTAGGTGGCATCAAGTAGTTTCCTGAAGCTGGAACAATAGTATCTTTCCACGGACCAAGGCCGACAACATATTTACGAATGTATGCAAGGTAATCATCTGAAGTGATTTCCCAGTATGACTGCAAATGAGAAATGAAATAAGTAATATCCAAAGGCATGTTCCACTGAGTTGCACTAAACAAGCCCTAAAATCTCAGGGGTTGATTTCTGTTATCCAGACTGTTTTTCTTTCATAGCATTGGAACAAATGGGTGACAGATTGTTACAAAACATTAGTACCTGGTTCGTGTCTTGTGTTCTCACTGTGATACCATCAATCAAAAATACCTTCGGAGAGTCAATCAAATCTGATACATGTACAATGGAGGTGGGAGCAAAGGATTGTATAAACAATGGCTGCTTCAGCCAATTCTCTGACATATATTGACCTTTGTATCCATATTTAAGCAAGGTATCCACAAATTTGTCCTCAAACTTCTTTCCATCAGCCCACTTGACCTGGTGAAAGTAATACAAACTCATTATGACACATCATAAATGAGAAATTAGCCCCTTACATTGTCAAAAAAAATGACAGTTTGGCACTATCCAGCTCATCGTAGTCAAGGGTATCAATGCTAACTACTTTTAGGAAAAGCATATCATCTGCAGCATTGATGTCACAACCCATGTGCCAGAAGAAGGAAACATAGTAGCAATTTAATTACATTTGTGACAAAAAGAAAACTTTATAAACTACCATCTTCAGTGCTGTTCGTTTGGTAGACAACAGTTACTTTCATAAGCTCAGCAGCCAGCTGCTGATATCATCATTGTACAGAAAGTTTATATATACTATCTAAATAGATTGTTTTTTGGGTGGCAGTGACATAACTATAGAATACCACAAATCAAAATAAAGTGCATATTTCGTCTTGAGAACTGGGGGACCTACATGCTTGTTGATAAAAACTGGATCTTTAATCTCTGGATATATGCCGACAGTTCTGTCTGCATCTAGGGCAATTGAAATGAATTCTTCAAATGTGATGATTGAAAACATACCTGAATGACAAGATCACAAGAAAATAATAGATTGCTATCATTAATCCCCAATCACAATCTTCCATGCGAGTTAATGCAAATGTGTTCTTAGGCCAAGTAAAGTCAAACACAAAATAATATAGCTGTACTAGTTCTAAATAAACAACGGTTTCGTAAAGGAAATGGAATACCTGCTTTGGTGAAGAGAAATAACTATGTTAAATCAACAAATAAGAATTCTAGATTGTATCAGATAATGGGAAGAAATGTTATTGAGAAAAGAACCAATGAACCACATCCTATACATTTCTGAGTAATTAAAACAACAAAATTCCTATGATTTCCTAGAATATTGCTGCACTAATAAATAACTGCAAAGGGTATGTTGTTTACAGTGCATGGAAACTTATCAGAATATTCCCTCAGGAGAAAAATCAGAATATTTTGGCTGGCGAGTGATGAAATTAATTATTTCCAACTAATCGCCAAGTTTATAGCAGTTACAGTAAGAAGCAAATAAATTGGCAGCAGCAGGTCATTTCAGCAAATGCACATGCATGTGACAAGAATCAATTCAAGGCTCTTTAGAGTTGGAGCACATCAGCATGGTCATAGAAGAGGAAGTATGGCATGAAACAATTATGACAAGTTGACAACAAAATCCATGCGAAGGATATCCATACCATTGTATTGTTGATCTCTGAACGAGTACCTCTGCTTCACTTTAAGTGTTTTAAGTTCCTCCAGTGTGAAGTCCACTGCAAACCAACACTTCGACATTAGTTTAAATAATCAAGAACACATAAGCTTAGAGCGGTGCCTGGGGGCATCCCTTGGGACACACAGATCCGGGTTCGAGCCCCCATGGGCGCTCCCCGTGGTTCTGCATTAAAAAAAGGTCCCTAGTTGTGCAAGCTATTTTTAGCAGCAGGCGCAGGATGTGCCTCCTGGGCAGGCAGCCTTCACTCTTCAGGATCTTTTCTAGACGCAGGAGTGGTTTGCATCTACCTAACATCAAAGCTGTTGGGCGGTCTTTCCCCAGAGATCTAGTTTTTTTTCCTTTCCAAAAGCTTACAAGTTTGTCATTCTCATTTTGCCCCTCCACATAACATGAAGTTAAAACTGTCAATATATTATATGTAAATAGTGTTCCAGTATACATGAGCATGTAATAAATTCCTGAATTAGAGTCAAGAAAACGCAGCAGGGATGCATTGTTATTTACTTGTTGCTTACCTATATTTCATGTAGCAGATATGTAAATTAACGGTAATAACAAAAGGAGTGAAGAAATCAGGGTTGGTTGTAAGATACAAACCTACAAACCATCCAGTAACATTAAACCACTCCACTTCATAGGTTCTTCTTCGATTTGCAAATTCCTTACGCCTGGCAACATCAGTTGTATCGTCCAGTGTTACGTCATGAAAACAAATCAAGGCCCCATCTTTGCTAGCAAGGATGTCAGACTCTATAAAATCTGCCCCTTCTTCAATAGCTCTCTGCAATAGGATTTCTTTTGGTTAAATGTGATTTTCCAATTTATAATACCTTATTGTCCACATGCTAGAAAAATTATAAACTTGTGATATGTGAATTCAATAGTCCTCTGCATTAATCGATATCTGATAATCTGAAAGCTAGCATTTAGGTGCATCAGCTTCACAAAAACATCTTATTCCCTTGGCAAGATAGAAATATAGAATTCTGCTACAGATCAATAGTGCTCGCAATTTTCTGAGCAGTACCAGGTATGCAGCAGCTGTTTCCTCGGGAATTTCCCCATTTGAGCCACGATGAGCAATGTTATATGGTCGAAACGTCTGTATGGGTTTCTTCTCTTCATTCTTCGTCTTACTCGGTAGAGGAAAGAGAGGCCTAGCAAATGCCAAATGTAATAGTAGCAGAAGAAAAAGAGGTGCACAATCTGCCAGGGACATCGATGCAGATAAATTAGAGATAAGTATACTATTAGCTACAACATAGATTAAGGCCATATGCAATCCAGAAACATTAGTCATGGTTCAAATACGCATTGCATCAGGGATGTCAATTTCTTTTCTCAAACATGCAGTAGAACTGCATGCCATTGTATTAATAATTAAAACAGCCCGATTACATGCCATCTCCATGGCTTGGGGTTAGTTTTTTTTTTTTGTAGGATTTCCACCCTAGAACATATGATCAAGGCTGTCAAATGAAGATACATTAAGACAAATGTGGCATCAAGTGCACATAAGATTCTATCATGGAGATCTTTTAAGATATTCATGTTGCAGAAACATGGATAGAATATGCAAGAATGTCAATTATATGGAGAGAACCACGATATAAAATACAGAAGAAAGAATAAATCTAGCTGCCACTGCCTTTGTTTTGTACTTCTTCTGCACGTGGATGTAAGGATACGCATGTTTGTGCTTTGGAACCTTAGTCAATGTCAGATTCCTTTGCAGTTCAAAAAGAAAGAAAGAAAATCCTCTCCCCTCCATTAATTTTGGAGTTTTCTTTCTTTTTGTATCTGTCATGCTCCTCCATCCACAGTTTACTAGGGGTCACAAGTTACAACTCTCAAGATCAAGTCTTCAAATATCGTTGGAGTATTGATTCAAAATGGAACATGCCAACTCATCTAGGATTTCTACATAGGCAGAATATGAAATCAGAACAACTGAACAAGTCTGAACACATCAGAGTATATGTTCATCAGTAGTGTGAAACTAGGTAGTATCATTATCTAATTAGCACAACCAACCCAGCAATTTCGTTATTAAACAACCTAGAAGGTGCTAAATTCACGCTTTACCCATTCATCCAGACATATCCACCTCAGAAAGGCATACCAGATACAGACCGGAATAGCAACAGATAGGCAATTCAGAGCAAGCTCATTCCACATCACACTCGCACCCTGCAAAAGTACCCTTCACTGCCTTATTCGGTATCACGAACCAACAAAAACCATGCCAGATCATTCACAAAATGGCCATTCCACAGTTAGCTCAGCGCAAATGCAGATGCAACCCACGCCTTACAATTATAAGGCGATCGCGCAAGGATAAAAACAAGCACGCGGAATGAACTGCTGAAATTTGCATACACACGCTAGGTTTATCAGATCGGTGGGCACTGCGCCGAGCGAGCATTCAGAAATCAGGATGGCCGACGAATCGAGGGGAAGAGGGTCACTTACAGAGAGAAGGGCGCATGGTGCAGCGGTGCTCCCTCGGTCTTTACCCCTATCGCCCACGCTCTTCTTGCTCCACTCTCCTGGAGTCCCCCTCCCGTCTCCCCACTGTATATGGGAGCGAGCGAGCGAGCTTGCTATGCTCCGGTTTCAGCGGGGCAGAAGACGAAACGGTGCGCGGCACCTCGCTCCGTGGCTCCGTGCTGAGCGCCTCTGCTCTCTCCTCGCTCCCACAACCCCGCTTTTTCTTTCGGTCACGCCATCGATTCTTCATCATCGTTCCCTTGACGGAACGGAAGACACAATCCAACCAAATCAATGGCCGCCCCAATCAATGCGATTGCCGTACGGTTACGAGCTACAACCACCCTACCCTGGCTACAACATCACGCTGCTCCGATAGGGCCCACCCGTCTGCCACTCCTCGAAGGTGGAGTAGACGCGTGCGTTTAGACGTTTCCGGCGCCGTTGACGGAATATTCTGGGAATAAATACTCTACGGAGTATATCGCTGCCGAGCGTGGGGACGGCTCCTGGGCTCCCGCGCCGGCCTGCCTTTCTGCTGGAATTTGATCGGCATGGGCTGGGCCAGCTCGACACGCCCCGACCCGGCAATGGTCGCGTAGCTTTTGCCGTTTGGTGCGGCCCACGTTCTCGCCCAACAGAAACCCGAGCCCATCGCCCGTCCAGCAGAAACCCGAGCCCATCGCCATTTCCAGCGTCTTGTCTTGTCTCGTCTCGCTGTATCGGCCGATCTCCCCATCCCTCTCCCCTCTTCGTCGATCCCACCACCGCACCGACCACGATGGCCTCCGCCGCCTCGTCGGCCGCCGGCGCTGGCAAATCGCTGCTCCAGGGGCTCCGCAGGTTCCTCAAGAAGCCGTGGGAGATCACGGGCCCCTGCGCCTCGCCCGAGTACCGCAGCGCGCTGCCTGACGCGCTCGAGTACCGCGTCAAGTGCCCGGCCACCGTGCGCGACGACCGCGACAAGGCCATCGTGCCCACATCCGATCCAGAGACAGTCTACGACATCAAGTACTTCACCCGCGACCGCCGCCGGAACCGCCCGCCCGTGCGGCGCACCCTGCTCCGCAAGCCCGAACTCGAGCGCTACATGGCCACCAAGCAGTTCGACCCCACCAAGGACTTCCCCGTGCCATACGTCAACACCACCGTCGAGGAGGACGACAACACGGTCGGCGGTGGCTACCAGAATTGACTCAGGTGAGATGTGGTGTCTCCTCTTAGATCTGAGGTCGCAGCTAGGGTTTCATACTTTGCGATTTGATATATTCGGGCTGAAAAACGAGGTATTGCTGGCTTGCCACAAAACTTGAAGCAGTTATCCGGACATGGTTGAATTTGACTGTGCTTGATGCCTATGTCGTGTATGTTACGTGCATTAGCTAATTGAGTAGGCTTGCAATGTAAGACAAGGTATCATTTCATCAGAATCAAACACACCACATAATTTGACATGACGAAGGCAGTAGTATTTTTCTTTGACAGAGGTAATACCCTGCTTTTATAGAAAGCATTTAAAGGTCTGATACCCAAGGCATTAGTAATTAGATGATCATATCTTTATAGTCTGCATTATTGTCTCATGGAGGGATGTTTCTGTGTTATTGTTTGCGATTTGGTATATGTCCATGTTTATTAAGGCGGTAAGTCAAGCCGCGGCAACCTGCCCATTTGAGTACACTAGGCGTTTAGGGCGCGCGGTGAGGCAACGCCATACAGACATCTTAATATATAATGCCATTAAAATTCAGAAGCAAATCATACCTTAATATTGCCAATTCTTAGCATAATACCATAATAAGTAGTGCTACTATAGTGCCAGCGCCCAACACAAAGTACAAAATAGCAAATCTGAAATCTCTCAATAGCAATAGATTAGTCTCTAATGACATAATATAACTTAATGAGTAGTGCTACTAGTGCAAAACAGACCACAATCACAAGCTCTGAGCACCTAGCAGTCAAACACATGAAGGCAGAGCAGTTTACATCCACCCAGAAACAAAAGCAGCAGTGCAGACTGCAGACAGCAGAGCATATCCAAGTAAAGAGCAGAGGCGCACATCCAAGAGGAGGGAAGCCCAAGCAAGAGGAAGAGATGCATACGTACCTGTCTCGCGACCTTGTGACTCTGGGCTGAAGAAGACGGGAACCAGCAGAGAAGGGGAAGGAGCCATGAATCAATCAGCAGAGAAGAGGGAGGACCAGAGGAGGCACCAATCAGGGTCGCAAATCAGTGGGGTAGAGGAAGGGAGGCTTGAATTGTCAGAGAGAGGCGTTAAGATGGAGCAGAAGAGGTGGAGCGGCAAGATTCTAGTGGCGCACCGCCAAGAACCAGGTGTGCGCCCTCTTCCGTTTCCCCGTCCCTGTCAATTGGCGTGTGGAGAGAAGATGGGTTATGGCCTTGTGGAACCTGTGGGCGTGCGACTCCAGTTGGTCTCCTTTGCACGCAAATCTCCCATGGCTGCGCCCATTTTTTCGTGTGCGCAGCTCCTCTCTCGTGCCCGCACCTAATCCCCTGCGCCCAAGCTCGTGCAGCGTCCGCATCAGGCCGCTTGTGCCTTAAACAATACCAAATTGTGCCTAGGCGATGGCTTTTGTTGCAAGGCGGAGGCCATACCCCGATTGGTCGTGGCGAGGCCGATGCCCAACCTCGAAACTCTACTGGACGCCTAGGTGATGACTTTATGTCAGTTGGTTAATGCTTAAAATGTAATTTCTGCAGGTGTAGGATTTCACTATAGAGTAGGCATTTTGTTCATAAATGTTTCACTTTACTGTGTCATTCTCTGAGAAACTCTATTATTGTGACTTATATTTGTGTTTGAGATTTGAGACTGGTTAATATACACAAGCTAGATAACAGGTTTCAAATGTTAGAACTTTAGCAATTTATCTTTCAAATTAAGTAAACTGGAATGGGATAAAGTGGATTTGGAATCCATGCAGATTGTGGGCACAAGAAGCGGGCATGACAAAAATGGGATATGAACTTTACACAATCCTCCCATCTGGAATCCTGCTGCTTGCAGGGAGGCTACTGAATTTATGCTGTTTAGTGAGATCAATGAAGCTTAGGTGGATAGCCGTGTTTCACTCTGCTTGGAAATTGTACATTTCACATTAGCTAACAGATTATTTTACAAAAAAAACACACCCCATAAGTCACTTTGGTTTTGGGATCCCACCACCACCTCTATGTTTTGCTGCAAAAATCAGCCCACCACACATGCTCTATGCCGAATCCTCAACATGGAGCCATTAATGTAGAATCTATGAAAGTTGAATACTTATAAAAGTACAAACCTAACATTTTTTAGAACTTGGACCAAATGAATCACAAATGAAAAACTTAAGCTTGGCCAAACTGATTTTTTGCTATATGCAAAATTTCTCCGCCGCAATATCATAAGTAAGCCTAATCCAAGTATTGGAACAAACTTGACTTGGTGCATGACTTGTAGTGGCTCCATGTGTAGTGGGGTGGTTTTGAACGGAGTAGAGTACTGGGGTGGGCATTTACAATAAATTTTTTTATGCGTTGGTATCTCAAAATCCAAGTAACATATGGGTGGGTTTGCATTTTGCCTTTATGTTTATGTCTGTTGTTTGGTGATTTTGTTGCTGCCTCACTTTCAAAATGTTCGGGTCTCTGGCGTTTGCCATGCTTTTCATGCCACTGCATTATCTCATTTGCTTTCATGCAATATATTGTGATTTTTTCAATGCTCGTCATTTTAGATTTGGGCCTTCAACTATAACTAGCTCCAGACTTGAAGTGGAAGTCATATCTAATTATTGCCCCCCATGGATGTGGTTACATTGCAGGAAAGCTTGCTGATTTGATGCTCGTTAATTTGTCAGGCATCCTTTTCTTGGACTCCATCAGAAGCTGCACTATTTTCATTCCAGCTATGAAATGTCCCTTTTTCTTTTGTTCCAAGTGGAAGTTTTCTGGTTGTAAAAGATGATGGTGGCAATAATATGGCACTTGTGGAGCTCACGGGATGCACATATCTTGTAACTTGTATTCTAAAACTGTCTACCTGATACCAATGTTACTGTGTAATGGAAAACTTAAGGTTTCTATTCCAATGTGCATATCATCTCCAATTAGTCAGTAACTTGTGCTGATTTGACAAAAGAGCAAAAAGTACTTCCGTTTGTACTTTTTGTACGATTAGAACATTATGTGCATGGCTTGAGATCTCATGCCTGTATGTAGCGAGTCTTGGCATGGGAATTGGGAAGTCAATTATATGACGTGCTCGTGTGTATGGTCTCATGGATGGAGCGGTACGCGCTGGGGTTACACGTACATCGATATGATTATATGATACCTCTGGAGTGTTTGCATGTGATCTCTTGGTTGGACCTTATCATGGTCGAGTCGATGGATCTAGGCAACTCGGCTTGTCTTTTTTTTTTCTCAAAAAAAGAAAGACCAGTTTGGATGGCTACAAAGAGGCGCTAATTGCACGGCAATTTTTTTATCGACACACATTTTAGACATTAGCCTATTATCTGGGCAATGGTGCAAATTCAAGCTAATTTTAACCAGCTAATTATTAGCTCATCTAAACAGGTCCTAAGTGGGCTTATCCTTGCCTGAAGCTATATTCTCTCGTCTTGTCCACTTACCTTATAAGCCCGTACTTTTCAATCAACTACGGATATTTTTCTCTGGTGCCGGCGGTTGCGCCGGCGGTTGCTATGCCTGCAAAAGGAGGTTAGTGAGTAGTATGTTGCTATATGCCGCTGATTTTGGTCGTGATGACTGATGACGTACTCCCTCCTTCCAGAATGCTTGAAGGACTAGAACCAGTTACCAAGGTTAAAGGTAAAAGACTCTTATATCCCTATAAAACAATCATCACAGCCGTTGATTATTTGAAATGACATGCACATTTATTGTTCTGCTTCCGTTGCAGGCCACAGCTCCTTCACGGCTCCAGCATCCAACACGAGACTTTTTCATTTTTCTATTAACATTCAGGCTTGTGGACGTAAAGTGATGGGCGACAGATGATTGATGGAATAGTGTGGGGCCTACGTTTTAGGCTGAAGCATTGCTTTGTTTATAGCATTGCTTTGTTTATAAGTCGTATTCTTTTAGTCAACTAATAATATTTTTCTCTTATAATAAATCAGTCAATAATACTTTCAGTCATATCTGACAAGCTAAATGAGCGTAGTATTCTGGGACGGAGGAAATACGAGATACACCTGCGCATTCATATTATAGGTCACAAATTCATAAACGATTAAAGTTCTCTATGATTTGATTGTTACGCATAAACTTTATTGATCCTCCAACTTATGAACACAAACTTGACTGACAAGTGGATGACAATAGCGAACTCGCAACCAGTTCCTCTGTGGTATACCTCTCTGTAGTTGAGTCATTGGCATGTGGGCCTGGTTATGCCAGTGACTCGCTACAGTGACGAACTGCACATTCGGCTCACTCAACAAACTCATGTTCCTCACTGCACATTAGACTCACTCGGCGAACTCATGTTGATCTGCACTAGTAATACAGTACTATGGTAGTTGGTACAAAATTTCCACGGGCACCGAAATGACTCCATCAATGACTTCCCCCATGCCATACATTGGCATCAACGTCGAGAAGGATGTCAACATGGTTGGCTGTGCCCTGTGGGCCGGTGGCTACCAGAATGGAGCAGCCAGGTGAGATGCTGCAGCAACTAGGGTTTCAAATCCTCGGTAGAATTTGGTGCAAAATATCATCATGCATGCATATCCAATTCAATCTTCTTTTGAGTCAAATCAATACTTTCTTCTTTGTTGTACTACTAGAAGTTAAGATCTGCTTGCTGCAGCTGCAATAACTCTTAAGCACAGTAGTATTAAGGGCAAGTTTGGTAGAGTTCTCTTTCCTAATTCTTGAGCTTCACTTCTTGATTCTCCGGTGGTCTGATTCTGATGGGGGAGCAAATTGTGGAGCTAGTGAGAATCAATTCTGAAGTGGTTCTAGTGGTGATTGAATGGGGAGTAGTGAGAAGCGATAGAGAGCGGGGTTTTTTTAGCTCCCGGCTCGTAATCTAAATGGAGAAGTGATTATCGTCAGCTCCCCATCGAATCTGAATGTGATGCTCCTTAGGTAGTTTGGTGTTTTATGAAAGTGTAATTGTGGGAATGATTGATTTGTATTCCAAGTATGAGTACAGGAGTACATATATACACGCTTGGATGGCATGCAAGCCTACCACAATTGGCGTGATTACATCCACAATTATAGGCATAATTACATTAGTCTAACACTCCCCCGCAGTCTAATCAGGGGCATTGCTAATGGTCAGACTGGACCGGAACTCCTGGAACATCGAGGTAGGAAGACCCTTGGTGAAGACGTCAGCGTACTGTGATGTCGTGGGAACATGAAGGACCCGAGCATGATCGAGTGCAACTTTCTCTCGAACAAAATGGAGATCGATCTCTACATGTTTCGTTCGCTGATGCTGCACTGGATTGCTGGAGAGATATACTGCACTGACGTTATCACAATAGACCAAAGTGGCTCGGCGAGGAGGGCGGTGAAGCTCGAACAGTAGCTGTCGCAGCCAGGTGGCTTCAGCTACGCCATTCGCCATAGCACGGTACTCGGCCTCAGCGCTGGATCGTGAGACCGTGTGCTGACGCTTGGAGGACCAGGACACCAGATTGTCACCTAGGAACACTGCGTAGCCAGAGGTGGAGCGACGGGTATCCGAGCATCCAGCCCAGTCTGCATCCGTGTACACGATGAGCTCTGTAGGTGACGAGCGGCGCATAGTCAAACCAAGTGAAAGAGTGCCTCGTAGGTACCGTAGAATCCGTTTGAGAGCCGCGAGGTGGGGCTCCCTGGGGTCATGCATGAAGAGGCACACTTGCTGAACAGCAAAAGCAATATCCGGACGGGTAAATGTCAGATACTGCAGGGCACCAGCGAGACTGCGGTACTGTGTGGAGTCAGCGACAGGAGGTCCATCTGCGGATAATTTGGAGTGCACATCAACAGGGGTGCTGCAAGGCTTGCACTCACTCATCCCGACTCGCTCCAAAATGTCCTGAGAGTATTGTCGCTGAGAAAGAAATAAACCACTGGCAGAGCGTATCACTAAAATGCCCAGAAAATGGTGAAGCGGACCCATATCGGTCATAGCAAACTCACGCTGGAGAGCTCCAATAATCTGCTTCAAAAGACTGGCAGAGGAAGCAGTGAGAACAATGTCATCCACATAGAGCAACAACAAAGGTGTGTCTGTCCCTCGTCGATATATAAAGAGTGAGGTGTCTGACTTTGCTTCAACAAATCCAAATGAAATAAGATGAGAGGCAAACCAATGATGCCAAGCATGCGGAGCCTGCTTCAGACCATATAGAGACTTGTTGAGCCGACAGACGAAATCAGGACAAGAAGAATCCACAAAACCTGTGGGCTGAATGCAGTACACTGTCTCTGTGAGGGTACCATGCAAGAACGCATTTTTCACATCCAACTGGTGAATGGGCCAGTCCTGAGAGAGAGCTAGAGAAACAACCACTCGGACTGTCGCAGGCTTGACCACCAGGCTGAACGTCTCATCATAATCAATACCAGCCCGCTGTGTGAAACTCCGGAGGACCCAGCGGGCCTTGTAGCGATCCAAAGAACCATCTGCAAGTAGTTTGTGATGAAAAACCCACTTGCCGGTGACCATGTTAACACCGGGAGGCCATGGCACAAGACTCCAGGTGTCGTACTCAGCTTGCATACCGGAGCGCCAATTTGGATCGGACAGAGCACC